TAAGTGCCAAATTTTCAGTTTTATTTTGTTCCCCAATTTTGTAATTTCCATTTTGATTTCATTCTTGACCCATGGAATACTTAGGCATATATTCTTTAATTTCTAAATTTGGGATTTCCAAGTTATCTTTTTATTTATTTCTAGTTTAATATCACTGTGGTGAGGGAATATGCTCTGAATTAATTTAATCCTTTTAAATGTGTTGAGATTTAGGATATGGTCTAGCTTATGATCAATTTTGGTAAAGATACACTTGAAAAGAAAAAAATATTTTGTCATTTTGAGGTACTGTGTTTCATCCTTGTTAATTAGGTCAAATATATTTATTTCGTCTAAATTTTAACTGATTTTTTTGTCTGCTTCTTCTATGAGCTACTGAGAGTGGTATTTTAATGTTTCCCACTATGATCTGTATCTCCTCCAATTCTGCAATATGTTGGAGGGTTTGTTTTTTATTATTATTATTAGTGTATGTTGAGTCTGAATTTTATCATTCTTGTGTATTGACTTCTTTATCATTATGATATACGCCCTTTATTCCCTTCAAGTCTACTTTATCTAACATTGGAATAGCTTCACCAGCTTTTATTTGGCTAGTGTGGTTTTAGAACAAGTCTCTGCCTTTTTCCTTATTTTTCACTATTTCTCTTGCAGGTAGCTTACAGTTTTGTGCCTTTTTATCCTGTTGGGTAATCTTAAACTTTAAAATGTGAACCTATTTCATTTACCTTTAATATAATTACTGATACCTTTGTTTTAGATCACTTATACCACTAGTTCTTTTAGTGTTTTCTCTATTTTACTTATGTTTCTCATTCTTTTTGAACAAATAAACTATTTTTATTATGCCACCCTTCCTCTGTTAAATTTTTGATCATATGCTATTTCATTATTTTAGTCTTTATCTTAGGAATTTAAATATGCTTTGTTGCATTATTTATTACAGTCTAGAATAATTATCTTTACCTTCCTACCAATATTGCTAGAACATTAACATTCTTTAATTTTATTTATGCTTTCTTCAACTTTTGTGTTGTTATTAGAATATACTTTGATTTAAACACATTACAGACTTCATAAGATGTTACTGTTCTTGCTCGTTCAGTTAAAATTTATTGATATTCACCCACATATTTACCCTTTCTTTATACTTCATTCATTTAAGCAGTGTAGTGGTTCCCTCTGGAATAATTTTTCCTCTGTCTAAGAACTCATTTGTTTAATATTTGTTTTAGTGGAGGTTTATTCGTGATAAATTCTCTCAATTTTGTTATTTTCATTGTTATGATTAAACACCATTGGCAAAAGATATTTGTGTCTCTCCTATATATATAATGAAGTAAAAATGAAACTCTATGTTTTAATAAGTAATTTTTATTTCTAATTACATTTATTAAAATTTCCAGAATAGTAGTAAAAGTGGATATTGTAGACATTCTTATCTTTTTCCTGACATTACTGGGACTTCCTTTCTATTTTACTCTTAAATATAACATTTACTATTAATATGTGATTTTTTTTTAAGATTTTATTTATTTATTTGACACAGAGAGAGAGGAATCACAAGTAGGCAGAGTGGCAGGGAGCGGCAGAGGGAGAAGCAGGCTCCCCACTGAGCAAGGAGCCCGATGTGGGACTCGATCCCAGGACCCTGGGATCATGACCTGAGCCGAAGGCAGACGCTTAACGACTGAGCCACCCAGGTGCCCCTAATATGTGATTTTTATCTTAGTAAAGTTTCATTATGACTCCATTATTTTTTCTAAAAATATTTTCTTAATCAAGAATAATTAGTGATATCTATCAGGTGTCTTTATATCATCTAATATGGTGATTGTACTTTTTACTTCTTTGATCAATTACTATGTTAGATGTTACTAAACTGTCCAAAATTTTAAACAGAATTACAAAAACTCTGTTTGTTTCCCATGTAAGCTTAAGGCACCCACCCAATAGTTTTTGGAAAGTAATTCTTTACTAAATTCTTTTACCTCCCTGTCCATACTTGCCCTCCACAAATCAGGAGTAGTGATCTCTGTTTTTCTTTTTCTCTTTCTTTCTTTCTTTCTTTCTTTCTTTCTTTCTTTCTTTCTTTCTTTTTTTTTTTGAGTTAACATGGCTGAAAGGTGTTATAGAAGATATTGTGCCTTGAAAACTTGCATTATCTGGACATTTTTGATTTTTATATACAAAATTTTAAATTCTGGCTTTGGATCAATAAAAATTAATTATTTATTTTACTAAGATAAATATGTGTTATCTTGAGGAATTACAAAGATTTCCTTAAATATTCAAACCAGTAATAAATATGTAAACTTGAATTTGAATTATTTATTTTCAAGAGAGATAAAGAATAGGAATATTTTAGGGGCACCTGGGTGGCTCAGATGGTTAAGCGTCTGCCTTCGGCTCAGGTCATGATCCTGGAGTCCTGGGATCGAGTCCCGCATTGGGCTCCCTGCTCTGCGGGAAGTCTGCTTCTCCCTCTGCCTCTCTCTCTCTCTCTCTCTCATGAATAAATAAATAAAATCTTAAAAAAAAAAGAATAGGAATATTTTAACCCACTATCATCAAATATTGATCATTTTTGTATCCTTCTTTTGTATTTATATCACATAGAAACTCTAATTTGAACTGAGGAAAGTAGAAGATTAGTTTTTCATTTTATTTTGCCATTAAGAAACAACTTCAGGTTTGTATTTCTATAATTGACTCTTTATTTCTAATTAACTTTAAGAAGTACTTTATAATTGCTCAATTATTTTTCTGTTCCATATGTAGGATCTTACATTTCTAATTACATATTATTATTAAAGTCATTATGTCTCGCCTTTAGGAGGTTTTGTGTATTTTACCTGAATGAAACTTTGAAGAAAAATACTAGTTTGTAGTAGAATAAGCAAGGGCTTTGAAGTTTTTGCATGAACAGATTGTAATGTTGGCTCTATCATTTGACAGTTATATGATCTTTGGCCAAAAGAGCTCTTTCCTATAAAACACTACTACTTGTGATTACTTTGAAGATTCACTGAAACCTTAGAACACTTATGGGGTTCTTACTCTATGGTAGCCACCGATCTAAGTGCTTTATTATGAGATAACATTTAATTTTTATAACAACTCTGTGTAGTCATCTTCATTATCATCCTTTTTTTAGAGATGAAGAAACTTAGACTGAGGATTTAAGCAACTGACCAAATTTACGTGGATGGCAAATGGCAGATACAGAATGTAAACCCAGTTTGGCTTCAGAGGCTAGGCTCATACCACTATTCTCCTCCATATATACAAGATATCTAATTTGGTTCTTGATACCAATTAGACATGTAAATATTTATTGTTCTGCTTAGCCTAAGTCTCCAAAGATTTTAAATGTATTCAAAGTACTATTTCACAATAAGTTGCTTGCTCTGGTAATTATACCATCAATTTAGATGAAAGAGTAAGAGAAATATTTCAAACTAATATGGTGTCAAATAACAAATTTTCTAATTCTTCCTGAATATAAATTTGTCTGAGTACTCTGGTATTTTCTTGAGTCCTAATTCCTCATATTTAGAGGAATTACTACCATACCATGGCTTCTTACTAATTTAAAATTGTTACCATACCATGGCTTCTTTCTAATTTAAAATTGTTACCATACCATGGCTTCTTTTTTTTTTTTAAAGATTTTATTTATTTATTTGAGAGAGAGAATGAGATAGAGAGAGCATGAGAGGGAGGAGAGTCAAAGGGAGAAGCAGACTCCCTGCCGAGCAGGGAGCCTGATGCGGGACTCGATCCCGGGACTCCAGGATCATGACCTGAGCCGAAGGCAGTCGCTTAACCAACTGAGCCACCCAGGCGCCCCATACCATGGCTTCTTACTAATTTAGAATAGGTAGTTTGCTGATTGTATAGTCACCTGACATTTATGTGTCAGAAGACTTTAGATGAGGTATGAATTGCAAACTATGGAAATGGCTTATTCAAGGGAGTTTAATTTGTGAATGACTGTGCTGAGAGTACATGGAATGAAATCTGAAAGGGAAAAAGATAAATGCTCTCTATTGTTAAAGTAGTACTAGTTTTCCAAAGACAGAGGTTGGACAGTGTCAAATATCAGATGCTTCCACTTTCATTCCATTTACCAGAGTAACAATAAAGAAAAGATTCTGTTGGAGGCAAATGTCCCATAGGTCACTCAGAACTGAATAGAGAGAATATTAAGAAGAAGCAAGGCTGGGACAAGAATGAGGAAACTGAACTAAGACATAATTGGTAAAAGTGACAGATGGAAAGGACATGTTTTTGAATTGTACTCTACATTTTATGGCCTAAATTATATGCTTCCTTGTTATTCACTGATTAAGGGATTTGCACTGTTTGGGAAAGTTATCTTTCACAAATATCCAAGTATCTTCTAAAAAAAAAAAAACCTGAGAGTAGAACAAATAGAGAAATGGCTACTTTGCTGTCTTTTCTTGCAAGCTCATTTGTTAGAATTTGCAAGTGAATTTGTATTTTGGGCTTTTAACACAATAAGTGCCATAGAAATTATGCTAGAGATTTCTGATTTCTCAATTAATAGAGACAAATTTAATATAATTTCCCTGGTGCTTAACTTCATAGCTTTATATCAGTATAGAGGATTGATTATTCTGGAACTGTGCAAAAGTTTGAGGGATAATGCTCGGTACTTAAGGCAAGATCTATATATACCTAGGCTCTAAAAGAAGGAATTACTAAAAGAAAAAAAGCAAAATCATATTTAAATCATGTTAAATTATGGTAACAATAGCAAAGAAATTTTTACGATATGGATTTATCTAGAAGGGCACATCTCGAATATTCAAGTTCATAGAAAAAGTAAGCACAAACTCCATGTACTTAAGCAAATCACACATACATATGTGTGCGCACACACACACATAAATGCACATGTACATAAAAGTAAAGAAAACTATACATTTTCTCTATCTTCTAAGAACTGTATGATTATTCTTTCTTTTTGCCAGGGGGCATTTTTGAATATGTGGAATCTGGCCCAATGGGAGCTGAAGAACTTGCATTCAGATTTGCCGTGAATACAATCAACAGAAATAGAACGTTGTTGCCCAATACCACCCTGACTTATGACACCCAGAAGATAAACCTCTATGACAGTTTTGAAGCATCCAAGAAAGGTAATTGACAAATATTTAACATTACATTTTCTGGAATTCAAATTTCCAGGTATTCTTGAGAGATTTAATTCCAAATGTAATTAATAAGTCATTAGGAATATTTTCATGCAAATGTTTCTTTTCAAAATGCACATAAATTTTATCAGGGAAGGTAAGGTGGTATGATTACCTATTACAAAAAAAATGCTTATAACATGAAATGCAAAAAAAAAAAAACATGAAATGCAATTAGGTCTATGATTGTTGTGAAATGGTTTTTTCCCCAATAATTCTGTTTTCTTATTTAACTATTCCTATTTTTAAGAACCCACTAAATAAAATTATACATCAGTAGATTTTACCAAGTTTGGAATCTATTCTTACATTTTTATTTCTATTATCTGTCACTTCCACTACATTATTACTGTTGTCTCAATTTACTGACTACCTTGAGAGTCCTGTAGTTCCAAGTGAGTTCACAATGTCAGACTAATCTTAAAACTTTATTGGAAATTTTCAACAACCTTTCATTTATGTGAACTCCATGCTCATTTTTAAGCTAGTTGATGTTTCTTCTTGTAACTGAAAATAAATGGCTAATGATATGAAAATTGAATTATAGGAAGATATAATACTTTATAAATTTTGTTATTTCTTTTATTATGTTGTGAAACTGTGTTTTTCATGATAAGAATAGAAACATAACTTTGTGGAATATGACTTTAACATTTATAAAGTAAGGAAGGTAATAGAGAACTATTATCAAGGTATTATTTTAACCAAACAACAGTCTTGGTAGTAACTGTATTTTGTGTTTCCATAGTCCTCCTTGTCTAAGTGGGTGATCTTTCCTTTTGCATAGTTAGCATTCATCTAACAGGAATTAAATTTCATAATATAGATTTTTCTCAAAGGAATGGGCTTACAAAGCATTTGTTCTAAATTCATATTTTTAAAACAATATTTACTTTTCTGTAATGCTAATACTGTCTTATTAGCTACCGTACTTGATAGAAATGTACATAATTACTTATAACTCTAACTTGGTCTAGATTTCTTCTAATTTCATTAATATTAATGGCAACTGATAAGGTACAATATTCCATAAGATGAAAATACCCTTTTTATCCCCCAGCTAACTAGTGTTTATCAAGGCCTATATTCTGCCTGCCCTTTGAATTCATATCTTTATGAATACGAATAAGTTTCCACATTTCAGAACCATGTCAGGGTGATGAAAGGTTTTAAAGCCTGGAAAAAAAGGGTAAAGGTTATTGTGAAATACTACATTTGTCATCATAATTGCAAAATAAGTCATTAACTGCAAGACAAGTGCATTTGATTAGTGACATAGTTCATGATTATTTCCATTAGGAAGAAGAAGCTCTGTCTCAAATGAAATCATTTAGACCAAAGAATGTGGAATATGAGTGAAGTATAAAAAAATATTAATAGGTTTCTTAATGATGAATTCAAAGGAGCAATGTAAAAAAAAAAACAGACTAGCATGTTCTTTTTAAAATTTTTTAAAAAGTTATTTATTTATTTATTTATTTATTTATTTATTTGAGAGCGAGAGCACGCGGGAGCACTAGCGGGGTGGGGGGAGCGGCAGAGGGAGAGGGAGAAACAGACTCCCTGCTGAGCAGAAAGCCTGACTCAGGACTGTATCCCAGGACCTGAGCCAAAGATAGACACTTGACAGACTGAGCCACCCAGGTGCTCCCAGACTAGCATCTTCTAACAACAAACAGGTTACTATCTTGGGAATTATAAGGTGTTAAACTCATTTGGGTTCCAAAATATTAAAAGAGGTTTACAAATTTTGTCACCCACTAAAATCCATTGAGAATCAAATTCATTAACTGACATTTGCCTGAAGGTAGGGAAAGCTCAAATAAGCCTAATAAGTAACTTTCTCTGTGAGATATTGAAAGGGTAAAAGTCATGGTTTGGGTCTTACCTTGTGAAGCTCTTGCTTCTGGGCTATTATTGGTTGGAGGCCATAGCAGTGATGCGGGAGAGCTAGGTTCTTGTCCCATGGAGTCGAAGAATGAATCTTGCGGACAAAGGAGAGAGTAAAGCGATAGACATTTATTAAGCAAGATACAGAAAAAGATCTCAGAAGTGAGAAGGGTCCCAATAGGGTTGCCACTGAGGGCTTTTAGGGGTGGTCTTTTATAGAAAGCTAACCAAGGAACTTAAATCTTTTTAACATCTCTATTGATAGCACCATTGAGTAAGGACTAGTGATAATACCTTCAGTGGCTTACTTCTTTTTTAGGGTCTGGTAATTCAAGGTTGCTCTCAAGTGGCTGTTAAAACAAGACCTCACCTCTGACACCTAGGACAGGATGGTCTAGTTTGTTCCCTTTCTCTGGCTTCCTTTCATCTCCCACATTTTGAATTTTGTGAGCCTGATCCTATGGCCCCCTACCTATCTCTCCCTACCTAGCCTTGCCTGTCCCTTTCTCAGCAGTATGTAAAAAGATACTATAAGAGAGAGATCTGATAAAACTTTTGAACCTGGGATAGCTCAATACATATATATAGATATAGATATTAATGATTAATTATAAAATGATTTAATTACTTTGGACATTAAAATTTTTTAAAATTTTTTTTCCAAGGAGAGACAATAATAAGAAATCAGATGTTTACATTTTAACATTTTTTTCTGATATATGGTCTTATATTTTTAGTAAGTAATAATGTTTAGCTCAGTAGATGCTTTGATGTATCAGAGCTTGAATTTTTATTTGAATCATATCGCTTTTAAATGATTCCTCTGATAACTGAAAACTGTTTCTTATTTGAAACACATTTTAGAACATTGTATATAAACTACTATAATGTTTTTACCTTTTTTTGATCTGTGACTTGTCAAAAACCTGGTAAAGGAAGATCTTTTATTCTTAATGTATACGAATTAAAATCCATGTTAGTGAAAAATTTCAAGCTCCAACCTTACTACGGATTCAGAAATCCAATCACTATTTAAAAAGTAAGAATCTACATATTCAAAAAATTTACTAGATCATACTGGAATTTTTGAAGAAAATTTAAACAAATGAGTTTTTTTCAACTATCATTTATTTACTTATTAAATATGTCTATGCTTCAGAATCCTTCCATCACATTGTGTTTTGTGCAGCAAAATCTCTGAAGGAAAATATCAGAAGATTTCACACAGTAGAATTATAAAGTATTTTGGAGAGATTTAGTCTAAACACCTACCTGATGCCTAAATCCCAATAATAACTCTCCTTATTCCTGTTTAAGTATTTGCAGGGATGGGTAAACTATTGCTTCTTGGAACAGACTTCCTTTCTTGGATATTTTCTACTTCCTTTTTTTTTTTTTTTAATTTAAATTGTGTCAACATTTATGAGACACTTCTAGCCATTTGTCCTAATTCTTCCTTTTCTGGCCAAATGAAACAAACTTAAGCCTCTTTAATAGGCCAGATCTTTAAATATTAAAGGTGATTTTCACATTTCCAATAATTATTTACTTTCTAGGCTCAAATTCCCTAGTTGCTTTGGAGGACCTTATAGAAATTGAAGTCCTATCTGGGGCTCCTGGGTGGCTCAGTCGTTAAGTGACTGCCTTCGGCTCAGGTCATGATCCCAGGGTCCTGGGATCGAGCCCCGCATCGGGCTCCCTGCTCGGCGGGGAGCCTGCTTCTCCCTCTGCCACTGCCCCTGCTTGTGTTCCCTCTCTCGCTGTGACTCTCTCTGTCAAATAAATAAATAAAATCTTTAAAAAAAAAAAAGAAAAAGAAATTGAAGTCCTATCATAATTTATCCTCATCTGAATAGCTTCTACTTTGTTTATGCCTCTCTTGGTAACTGTAATTATTACTGATGTGAATAAAATTTCTTATGAGTGAATGAATATAAACTTCAAAAAATAATTTAGAACAATATAAAAGACCTATAGTATACAAAAGCCAAGTAAATAAAGATGCTTAAATACTTATCTAATGATTTTATTCTCTCTACGCAATGAGATTAATCCATATGAAATCACCCTTGATGAGCCATATCAGGTTTTGAATGGGTATTTGTACACATAGCTTGACCTATATCATCAGATATGTGCAAATACTTAGCTTAGCAATGTGTGGCCCTGGCTTCTTAGATGGTGAGGAGGAACCAAATTGTTTCTGATTAAGAATTTGAAGTTGTAGAGGATGGTCAGTGAATTTGGGAAGGAACACTATTCTTCCAACTCCCTACTATAATCTATTTTTGCAAGACGAACACTCTGCTTCCTTCTTAAATTCTAGAATATTCTTCCTTTGTCACTCTTTTGATGTTATTTGTAGAATTATTTGAACATTGAGGTGCAGATGTCTGGAAGAATTTCCCTTCTAACAAACTGAAAATGTTTGGAGTTCGACAAAATATGAAAATTATCTAAATGTAGATGTGATTTGTAAGGAAAACAAAATCTTTCTTCAGGATAGACCTTTAGGCTTACAATAATAATGTGAAAATGTTGGCAAGCCGGCATCTCTCCTCATTACTGACAGACTTCTGTCTCCTCTTCAGCCTGCGATCAGCTGTCTCTTGGGGTAGCTGCTATCTTCGGGCCCTCACACAGCTCTTCAGCAAATGCTGTGCAGTCCATCTGCAACGCTCTGGGGGTTCCCCACATACAGACCCGCTGGAAGCACCAGGTGTCAGACAACAAAGATTCCTTCTATGTCAGTCTTTACCCAGACTTCTCTTCCCTCAGCCGTGCCATTTTGGATTTGGTGCAGTTCTTCAAGTGGAAAACCGTCACGGTTGTATATGATGACAGCACTGGTAAGAAAAATCAGTAGCCTTCAGGGCTATGCTTTAAATACGCGTGATGTTCTGAAACTTATTCAAGGTTCTTACTTGTTCTCATTTGGTTTTTTAAATTAAGGTAAGGAATGGAAAGACATTTGGAATCAAACATCAACACTAATTTCACACATCCAAAGAACAGCTAAATCACATACTTTCTCTCTGTATTTGTGAGATAAGCACTCTTCTTTCCTGTGAAGGATCAGTTAGCATGAACTATAATACTGGATGAAGGATAAAGATAGCATGGAATATAATATTGAAATATTTATTCAAAGAACCCTTCTGTTAGGTTCAGGATAGTTTCCCAAAGTAAATTCTTATGATTGTCCATTAGTGAAACTTATCAAGAAATTCAGGATTTTGCCTTAACGTTTTCTCTGGTATTTATGTGCAAAAAAATGTGTATGAAAAATAATAATTTTTATATCTGTATAGCATGTTAAAGTTTAAAAAAATTTTTTTCTCAAATTTGAAAAAATGTAATACCTATTAAAATACTCAAAGTTTTTAGAACTATTTATGTGTAGACACAGTTTAGGGACTTGGAAAATAGAGTTTTCTAAGTGGTATTTATTATAGTGTCTTTGATGAATATTTCAATGAATTTTTGCTGGCTAGAGGTTGTGCTTTCTTGTTTTAATGTATGTTATTATTTTTATATATAAATCGTTGTTTTGAATTAAAAACAAGTCTCATAGATAAATATATGAAAGTAAACATTAAAAATGAAGTATTTATTTTCCTTGGCAGTTATATTGGTAGAAGTTTTTCATACTATTTTGGTTATTATACAGTGATAAGAATTTTGCATTAAGATGTTTATCAATGGTCCAAATAGTGCTCTTTAAAACAGAATGTGAAAATAATATTTTATTCTAAGACATTTCACTATACCTTCATGTTTAGACAAAAATTGAAATTCATTTGAATTTAAATTCTCCCAAAGTAATCTAGTAGCACACTTTGTTCATGCATGCAAGATTTAGAACTATGTGCAGGAATTAGTCCTTTTACCCATAAAATTGACCAAATAGACAGATAGGAATTCTCCCAGGAGGACAAGGGAACAGGGAGTTATAGTATATAGTTATAATATATAGTAAATATATAGTATATGGTTATAATGATTATAATTTGAAAAAGATTTTCATTAGGCTAAGAAAGAGTGAGTTTCAATACACATTAATAGAGTAATTTCACTTTTCTGATTTTAAAAAAATGAAATGTTCAGGCGCCTGGGTGGCTCAGTTGGTTAAGCGACTGCCTTCGGCTCAGGTCATGATCCTGGAGTCCCAGGATCGAGTCCCGCATCGGGCTCCCTGCTTGGCGGGGAGTCTGCTTTGCCCTCTGACCCTCCCCCCTCTCATGTGTTCTCTCTCATTCTCTCTCTCTCAAATAAATAAATAAAATCTTTAAAAAAAAATGAAATGTTCATAAACAATTTTAACTTAGAAATATAAATAAAAGCCCTTAAAAAATAACTTAGTAAGTACCTTTGATGTGTCTTTTAACTCAAATAAGACTTATTAAGTTTGTTGTATGATGTTTTACTCCCAAATCATTACTTTTCTGTCATTGATAAAGTTCTCTGTGTCAGGTTATAAATGGTAATGGCTTTTCGGGGGTGTTATAATGTGATGGTCCAGGGAATCCTCAGTTACAAATTGGTCCATAACTCTTTATGAGTGGTCATATACAGAACTGTGTAAATATGAACACACACACATTGTGAATTCATGGGTTATTTACTTCCCTAATCCCTCTGATTTAATTCAGTTGAATGTTGTCCAAATATCACATATTTTCATATATATACATGCATACACACATAGTATATACACACATATGAATGCATATAGGTGTATGTTGTACATGTGATATTTATATTTATTTCTTATTATCTTAAAACTCCTCATGGTAGAAAGGATATTGGCAAGTGTTCAAAATGTTTATGGATATAACACCTTCTTCACTATTCTGTTTTTGTGTGTATTGTGACATTTTTATTTCATGTATGTAATGCTTGAGTGATTGGCTAAAAAGATAATGGGATTTGTGACCAAAATAAAATCACAATTTGGTAAAGCACAGCTTCATATGTAATTGATCTTTTGCTCTAAATAATATTCTAAACATTTATATCATTGAAGCAAATTTAAATAGAGAAATAAATGTAATTAGTTAATTCAGTATATATACTTTTTTTTTATTTTAAAGATTTTATTTATTTATTTGAGACAGAGAGAATGAGAGAGAGCACATGAGAGGGGGGAGGGTCAGAGGGAGAAGCAGACTCCCTGCCGAGCAGGGAGCCCGATGCGGGACTCGATCCTGGGACTCCAGGATCATGACCTGAGCTGAAGGCAGTCGCTTAACTAACTGAGCCACCCAGGCGCCCCTGGTATATATACTTTTAATGGAAACTTGACCTCAGATTAAATTTATTAAAATAGTTTGTTACTATTTAAGAGAAACTTTGCCATACTCCTCACTTTGAAAGTGACATAGATACTTGGAAGATTCTAAAACCTGATTATTTAAATATTAATACTAAGAGTCACTACAAAATTATTCGTAGAGTAGGTGTACTTTAAAAGTACTCTGAGGAGAATATAAGCTTATAATTGCTCTCTTTCATGCAATATGCAATTTAAAATATATTGATAAGGCATCTACTACATGCCAGGGACCAGTGCAGGCGTGTTTATGCCAATTAAACAAAGTCATGGCCCTGGCTGAGCTTCTAATTCCTATTTAGGGATATGTGATTGTTCATGTTTTTACTATATTTGTAATGAGCTAATTCCATCTGCAACTGGCCACTTGTAATCCCTTTTTTTTTTTTTTAAAGATTTTATTTATTTATTTGAGACAGAGAGAATGAGAGACAGAGAGCATGAGAGGGAGGAGGGTCAGAGGGAGAAGCAGACTCCCTGCCGAGCAGGGAGCCGGATGTGGGACTCGATCCCGGGACTCCAGGATCATGACCTGAGCCGAAGGCAGTCGCTTAACCAACTGAGCCACCCAGGCGCCCTTGTAATCCCTTTTAATTTATTTGTTTTTTATTTTTTGTAAGATTTTATTTATTTATTTGAGAGAGAGACTGAGCAAGAAAGAGCACAAACTGGGGAAGAGGCAGAGGAAGAGGGAGAAGCAGACTCCCTGCTGAGCAGGAAGCCGGATGCAGGGCTTGATCCCAGGACCCTAGGATCATGACCTGAGCCAAAGGCAGATGCTTAACTGACTGAGCTACCCAGGCACCCTAATCCCTTTTAATTTAACAAAGTTTTGAGAATGTGTCTATTCTTGATATTTTTATAAGATAGAACTGACCCTAAGATTCCCTTTTCAAATGTATTCATAAATATTTGGAAGTAGACTTTTTTTTTTTTCTTTTCAGGTATGTTTAAAAGTCTCAAGGTGGAATTTTAATAATAGAATTCAACAGAGAGGATTTGTAAACTTCCCAAGTGAACAAGATGTCTATTTGATCATGTGGGAGGAAATCTGGTTATAGCAAGGACTATGAACTGAAATGGGGAAAAATCCACCTCATACTTAGCAAGATAAACATTATTGACTCCATAATGGACTTAGGTATCTGCTATTTACTGCAGGACACACTGTGCCATTTTATTTACATTTCTTTTTTCCCTTTCCAGATTTATTTATTATGTATGCTATTCCTCCCATTTATACTCATTTCTATTTTGTTGTGTTGTCCAGTTTGATACATGATAATTATACTTTCATCCAGTCTTTGTTCCCACCCCCAAAACAGATGGGATGATAGATGAAATATAGTGCTAGAGTAGGAGAAATTCTTAGAATGATGTTAACAGGAGCTGTTTATTTTTTATGATAATTAGCATTTGTTGTTGTCGTGGATGAATGCTTTTAAACACCCTGAAAGTCTGTTACAGCTCTGAATGATGTCCAAAAATGATGGAGAAGAATTGGCTTCAGAAACAAAGCTGTGTTTCTGTCAGTCATTTTGGAACATATGATTCACTTTAAATATAAACTAAAAATAAGTTGGATAGCTGTCAGCTAGTAAGCAATTCCAGGATAAGTTCTGAATATTTGCTTTAAAATCCCTGTGTTTCATCTTTGTTTATAGACCAGCAGTCCATTAACAAAGAACTCTGGACTGGTAAACAGAAGCCTGGAATTCTATTCCCAATTTTGCTACTAAATGACTGGTACAACTTTGGAAATGAGGAGAATAGAATGAAAATAACTACAGAAAAGAGCTATAAGGCACTAGGCATTGTGATAGTTGCTATTATATAAACTATTTCACTTAATCATCAAAACAGTTCTATGAGTCCCAAAGGAAGTAAGTTATCACACCATTCCTGCTTCCTTCAGTGACTGGCTCTTCTGTCCACCAACAGCCTAAGACAGAAACCTGAATATCTTCCTTCATTTCTTCCCTTCTTCAAGCCCCTCAATCAATCAGGCTCTAACAGTTGTCAATGCTACACCTCTATGATCTCTCAAATTTATTTCTTCTATCCTCTTTAGCACTTCTTAGGTCAAGATCACCATCATCTCTCACCTGGATTATTACTAACAGCCTTCTAACTGGCCCCCCTGCTTCAAGTCTGCATCCACTAATCCAGTCTCCACACTGCAGTTAGAGTATTTTTTTTTAAATGCAATTGTGATCCATTCTTATTATTAATAGCTTCTCCTTGCTGTAAGGATAAAGTCAAAACTTTTTAAAGAGCCTTGTAAGACCTGACATGACCTAGTTCCTGTAGCTCTCCTGTGACATTTGAGTCTGAATTCCTCGCTTATGTCTTTTCAGATGAGCCATTAAACTTCTTTCAAGTTGCCCAATATCCTATTCTGTTCACCTAGGAAGTTCTCATTCTGGTCCCCACTCCTCCTGTCCACTAAATGCACACACATACATGCTCATGCATACCATCTGCCTTAGATGTCACAAAGAAAGTCTACCTCAATTC